AGCTACCCATTCAGAAAACAATGGGTTCCGCAATCACAGTCTGTTTCTCACAAGAAGGAAAAATAATTACATATTAGTGATGGAGAACTAACGTAGGGGATGTTTCAAAGGCCTCACAGTATGGTGACCTTCAGAGAATCTCGGAATGAGAATCACCATATTACTTTTCAGTTGATTCTATTTTGTCTCTGTCTTCATTATAAAGAAATTTAATATTATGTAAGAGTTATAATATTGATCATTACCACATAGATTTTATATGTGATGAGTCCAACTATGTCTTTCCAAACATAACAATGACTTTATTTCTTAGCTCACTTTAACCTTTTATTCTAGGTAAATAATTTCCCACAGAAACCTTTGCCCCAGGAAAATGATTTTTCCCTACTATGTTTATTTCTAACACCAATCTTCTGCTTTATATTTCTTCCTTCCTTTCCTTACTAATTTTGTATAGCTCAGTTTTCTTTGGCTAAATAAATGTTGCTTACTCTTAATGTTCTAGTCTGAGCTTCACTTGTTTCAACAAGATTTTTTATGGCTACTCTGGCTGAGAATAATTTCACTTTCTTCTGAAATTCTGTTGCATTGAAAGCACCACCAAGTTTGCCATCTCTTTCAACTGCCTTTGCTTCTATTTCATATTTGTCATTTATTCTATAGAATCTATGTTCTCTTAGGTTGCTGACTGTATTTTTTATTTGATTTGTATCTTTTGTAGCATCTAGGAAATATCAGTCATAAGAACTTGTGGTAGACAGAATAGTGTGCCTCACTCCTCACCAGAAGATGTTCACCCCTAGAAACTGTAAATATGTTAAGTTACATTGCACAAGATAATTGAGTTTGCAGATGAATTTAGGGTTGCTAACCAGATGACTTTGAGATGAGGAGATTATCCTGAATTATACAAGTGAGATCTGTATAATTACAGGGGTCCTTATAAGTGGTAGAGGGAAACAGAAAAGAAAGAACCAGACAGTAAGAAACTCTGCCAGATGTTTGAAGGTGGAAGAAGGGGTAAAAATCCAATGAGGAAGATGGAGGAAGGGGACAATAATCCAAGAAATGTGGGCCACCTCCAGAAGCTGAAATAAGCAAGGAATTGAATTCTCACTGATAGCTCCAAGAAGGAACAGCCCTGAGGACACCATGACTTTAGTTCAGTTAGACCCACGTGTTACTTCTCCATTGACACTATGATTGGGGGATGACCTCATTAACAGTAGGAGGTAATGGAAGTTTTAACTTTTCATAGGACTCCACTGTCTTCTGGAGTTTTTTAGAAAAACTCCAGAACTGCAAGATAATAAGTTTGTGCACTCTTAAGCTACTAACTTTGTTGTAAATTTTACAGCAGCTGTAGGAAATTAATATAGTGCTCAATAAATACTTTCAGGTTGAAGAACTTATAAACTGTTATGGCATAAAGACACCCTCAATAAATCCCGAGTATTTCAGAGAGAGAATCTTGCTCTGTTGCTTTGTGCCTGTTTTAAATTTTTTGTAGAGTCAGTGGTTTCATTATGTTGCCCAAGGCCAGTTTTGAACTTCTCACCTCAAGCGGTTCTCTTGCCTCGGCCTCTTAAAGTGCTGAAGTTGTAAATGTGAGCCATCACACATGGCAAATCCTTTTTGTCACACTTATATTCCCTAATTAGTAGAGATGAAAATGAACTGGCAATCTTCCTCTAGCTATGCATATAGTTGAAGCCAACTGTCAAATACTCAACTTTTTTAAAATTGGATTTTTTTGTGGCAAAATATCCATAACAAAAAATTTACCATCTTAATCATTTATAAATATTCTGTTTGGTGGCATTTTGCACTTTCTTTTCATTGTGTAACCATCACCACTATCCATTTCCAGAACTTTTAAATCTTTAAAGTGCAATTCTGTTCCCATTAAATAACTAACTCCTCATTTTTGTCTTCTCCAGCCTCAGGCAACCATCAGTCTACTATCTGTCTCTATGAGTTTGACTACTCTCAGGTACTTCATTAACTTAAGTGGAACCATGTCTTTTAGTGTCTGACTTACATCATTTAGCATGATATCTTGAAGGTTCATCCATGTTGTTGCATATGTTAGAATTTCATTCCTCTTTTCTTTTATTTTAAGTTTGATAAATTTTTTTATTTTCAATTTTTGTGGGTACATAGTGTGTATATTTACGAAATACATGAGATAGTTTGATTTGGGCAAGAAATGTATAATTATCCCATCATGGAAAATGGAATATTCATCCCTCAAGCATTTATCCTCTGTATTACAAACAATCCAATTATAATCTTTTTGTTATTTTAAAATGTACAATTAAATTATTTTGACAATAGCCATCCTTTTGTGCTATTAAATACTAGATATTATTCATTTTATTCATTCTTTCTAACAAAATTCTTGTAACTATTAACTATCCTCACTTACCCCTTACCCCTCGCTGCCCTTCCAAACCTCTGGAAACATCCTTCTACTCTGTATCTCCTTGTGCTCAATTGTTTTGAATTTTACATCCCATTTATAAATGAGAACATGTAATATTTGTCTTCCTGTACCTGGCTTATTTCACTTAACATAATGATCTCCAGTTCTATCCATGTTATTGCAAATGATAGAATCTTATTCTTCTTTATGGCTGAATAATACTTCATTGTGTATAAGTACCACATTTTCTTTATGTATTCATATGTTGGTGGACACTTAGGTTACTTACAAATCTTGGCTATTGTGAACAGTGCTGCAATAAACATAAAAGTACAGGCATCTCTTACGTATCCTGATTTCCTTTCTTTTAGGTATGTTCCCAGCAGTGGGATTGCTCAATTTTTAGTTTTTTGAGAATCCTCCAAGCTGTTCTCCATAACTGTTGTATTAACTTACATTCCCATAAACAGTGTATAAGGATTCTCTTTTCTCCATTTCCTCATCAGCATTTGTTATTGCCTGACTTTTGGATAAAAGTCATTCTAACTGCGGTAAGATGATATCTCTTTGCAGTTTTCTTTTGCATTTCTCTGATGATCACTGAGGTTGAACATCTTTTCATAAACTTGTTTTCCATTTTGCATATCTTCTTTTGAGAAATGTATTTTCAGATCTTTGCTAATATTTTATTTATGTTATATTTTTTTCCTATAGAGTTGTTTGCACTCCTTATATATTCTACTTATGAATCCCTTGTCAGAGGGGTAATTTTGCAAATTTTTTTTCCCATTTTGTTGGATTTCTCTTCACTTTGTTGACTGCTTTTTTTTTTGCTCTGCAGCAGCATTTTAACTTGATGTGATCACATTTGTCTACTTTTCTTTGGTTGCCTGTGCTTGTGGGTATTATGAAAGAAATTTTTGCTCAGATCAATGTCCTAGAGAGATTTCCCAATATTTTTTTTTAGTAGTTTTACAGTTTGAGGTCTTAGATTTAAGTCTTTACTCTATTTTGATCCAAACTTTTGTATATGGTGAAAGATAGGAGCCTAGTTTTATTCTTTTGCATATAGATATCCAGTTTTCTTAGCACCATTTATTAAAGAGACCATCTTTTCCCCAGTGTGTGTTCTTGGTAACTTTCTCAAAAATGGGTTCAATGTTGGTGTATGAATTTGTTCCTGGATTCTCTATTCTCTTGCATATGTTTATGTATCTGTTTTTATGCCAGTACCATGCTGCTTTGGTTACTATAGCTTTGTAGTATAATTTGAAGTCAGGTAATGTGATTCCTCCAGTTTTGTTCTTTTTGCTCAAAATATCTCTGGCTATTCTTGGTCTTTTGTGGTTCCATATAAATTTTAGGATTTTTTTTTTCTATTTTCATGAAAAATGTCATTGGTATTTTGATAGGGATTGAATGTAGATTGCTTTGGGTAGTATGAACATTTTAACAATGTTGATTCTTCCAATCCATGAACATGGGCTATCTTTCCATCTTTGGTGTTCTCTTCAATTTATTCCATCAGTGTTTTACAGTTTTAATTTTAGAGATATTTTACCTCTTTGGTTAATTCCTAGGTATGTAATTTTATCTGTGGCTAATGTAACTGGAATTAATGGTTTTGATTTCTTTTTCACATTGTTCACTGTTGGCATATAGAAAGTCTACGGATTTTTGTATGTTGATTTTGTATCCTGTAACCTTACTAAATTTGCTTATCAGTTCTAATAATTTTTTTGTGGAGAGTTTAGTTTTTTCCAAATATAAGAAAATATTATCTGCAAACAAGGATAATTTGACCTCTTCCTTTCCAGTTTAGATGCCCTTTATTTCTTTCTGTTGCCTAATTGCTCTGGCTAGGACTACCAGTACTATGTTAAATAACTGAGGTGAAAGAGGGCAACCTTGTTGTCTTCCAGATCTTAGAGGAAAGATTTTCAGTTTTTCCTCATTCAATATGATACCAGCTATGGTTCTGTCTTATATGGCTTTTATTAGATTGAAATATCTTCCTTCTATACCCAGTTTCGTGAGGGATTTTATTATGAGGGGATATTCAATTTTCTCAAACGTTCTTTTAAGCATTAATTGAAAGGATCACATGGTTTTTGTTCTTCATTCTGTTGATATGATGTATCACAATGATTGATTTGGGTATGTTAAACTATCCTTCACATCCCTGGGATAAATCCCACTTGTCACAATGAATGACATTTTTATGATCTTTTAAATGTACTGTTTAATTCAGTTTGCTAATTTTTTATTGAGTATGTTTGCAACAATTCTCATCAGGGATATTAGCCTGCAGTTTTCTTTTTATATGTGTCTTTGTCTGGTTTTGGTATCGGGATAATACCGACCTTGTAGAATAAGTCTGGAAGCATTCCTTCCCTCTATTTTTCAGAACAATTTGAATAGAATTGGCATGAATTAGTCTTTTTTTGTTTTTAATCCCCTTCTTACTGTCATCATCAACTATTATTTCTTACAAGTCACTAAGGGTATACTTCTATAATGTTTAAAAAGTCAGAGAAATGCAGAGTGAGAAGTTTTCCCATGCTGTGGGCTAACAATGGACACCCACAAGGATGTGCAACCTCCAAAGCAGCAACCAATAATATATATCTGTGGAGAATGTCACACAGAAAATAAAATAAAATCTAGGGATCCAATCAGATGCAGAGAATGTGTATACAGAATAAAGTACAAAAAAAAAGGACTAAAAGATTGGTCATTTTTGATGCTCGATGAAACCTAAGAATTCAGAGGAATGTCTTCACTTATACTTGGATTTGCTCTGTCAATGTTTCTGATTCTTGTATAGCTTTTGATTTTGCATACAGTAGTTTCCCTTATCATTGGGGGATATGTTCCAAGGCCCCCAATGGACTTCTGAAACCTCCCATAGTACCAAGCCTTTATACACTGTTTTTTTCTATATATACATACCTATGATAAAGTGTAATGTATAAATTAAGCATAGCAAGAGATTAATAATAATAAAATAGAACAATGATAACATACTGTAATAAAAGTTATGTGAATGTGATTGGTGTCTCTTGCTCTCAAAATATCTTCTTGTACAGTACTCACCTATTTTAGAATGTGGTTCACTACAGGTAACTGAAACAATAGAAAGGGAAACTTTGGATGAGTGGGCACTACTGTACTTAGAAATACAACTCTATATGTATGATTTTATTTGTAAGACCATACTGTATTTAGGTATCTACTAATATTTTATATAAAGCAATTTTTTGTTCCATTTTATGACTTTCTATTTATTGTGTATGTAATCTGACACACAATAAAGGGTAAAGTTGCTTCCTCAAGGCACACTTTTAATTAAAACCTAGCATCATTTGCAGTCCTTGTTAAAAATGCACTCTTCTAGAATCCTTTGAAGTTCTGATTAAATAAATGTATTGGAAACCAAAAAAAAAAAATTGTAAAGATATTCTTGTTAACACCAATCGCTAGAAGATAATAATTTAAATGTTGCTAGCATAAAGAAAACATAAATATTTAAGGTGATAGAAATCCCAATTACCTTAATTTGATTATGTAACAGTATCAAATTATCAAAAATACCCCAAATATATGTACACGTGTTATGTATCAATTATATATACATATATATATTTATATATATATATGTATATATATATATATAATTTTTAAAAATGGTACTTTAGATTCTGGGGTACATGTGCAGATCATGCAGAATTGTTGCATAGGTACATACATGGCAATGTGGTTTGCTGCCTCCATCCCCCCTCTGTGACCTATATCTGGCATTTCTCCCAACTTTATCCCTCCACAACCTCCCTACCCCCCGCTGTCCCTCCCCTATTCCCCTCCAACAGACCCCAGTGTGTGATACTCCCCTCTTTGTGTCCATTTGTTCTCATTGTTCAATAGCCACCTATGAGTGAGAACATGTGGTGTTTGATTTTCTGTTCTTGTGTCAGTTTGCTGAGAAGGATGGTTTCCAGATTCATCCGTGTTCCCACAAAGGACATAAACTCATTGTTTTTTATGGCTGCATAGTATTCCATGGTGTATATGTGCCACATTTTCCTTGTCTAGTTTATCATCAATGGGCATTTGTGTTGGTTCCAGGTCTTTGCTATTATAAACAGTGCCGCAATGAATATACATGTGCATGTGTCTTTATAATAGAATGATTTATAATCCTTTGGTTATATACCCAGTAATGAGGTTGCTGGGTCAAATGGAATTTCTATTTCTAGGTCCTTGAGGAATTGCCTCACTGTCTTCCACAATGGTTGCACTAATGTACACTCCCACCAACAGTTTAAAAGTGTTCCTATTTGTCCACATCCTCTCCAGCATCTGTGGTTTCCAGATTTTTTAATGATCGCCATTCTAACTGGTATGAGATGGTATCTCAATGTGGTTTTGATTTGCATTTTTCTAATGACCAGTGATGATGGACATTTTTTCATATATTTGTTGGCCTTATATATGTCTTCTTTTGAAAAGTGTCTGTTCATGTTTTTTGCCCACTTTTGAATCGGTTTGTGTGTTTTTCTTTATTGTAAATCTGTTTTAGTTATTTGTAGATTCTGGATATTAGCCCTTCGTCAGATGGGTAGATTGCAAAATTTTTCTCCCATTCTGTTGGTTGCTGGGTCACTTTAATAACTGTTTCTTTTGCTGTGCAGAAGCTCTGGAGTTTAATTTGATCCCATTTGTCTATTTTGACCTTTGTTGCCAATGTTTTTGGTGTTTTAGTCATGAAGTCCTTGCCTGTGGCACTAATTATTCTTTAAATGTTTGATAGAATTCAGCAGTGAAGCCATTGGGCTTTTATTTACTGTGAGACTCTTTGGTATGGCTTTGATCTTGCTACTTGTTATTGATCTGTTCAGGTTTTGGATTTCTTCAAGGTTCAATAATTATATGATGATAAAGCTTTATGTGTCTAGGAATTTATCCATTTCCTCTAGATTTTCCAATTTATGGGCATTTAGTTGCTCATAGTAGCCACTAATGATCCTTTGAATTTCCATAGTATCTGTTGTAATGTCTCCTTTCTCATCTCTGATTTTATTTATTTGGGTCTTACCCCTTTTTTCCATCAGTCTGGCTAAAGGTTTGTCATTTTTGTTTATCTTTTCAAAAAACCAGGTTTCTGTTTTGTTGATCTGTACTGTTTTCTTCATTTCAATTTTATTTATTTCTGTTGTAATCTTTATTTTATCTTTTCTTCCACTAATTTTGGTTTTTTTTTGCTCTTGCTTTTCTAGTTCTTTAAGATGCATTGTTAGGTTATTTATTTGAAACTTTTCTTCTTTTTTGAAGTTAGCACTTATAGCTATAAATTTCCCTTTTAGAGCTGTTTTGCTATATCCCATAGGTTTTTGTTTGTTGGGTTTCCATTATCATGTGTTTCAAGAAATTTTTCAATTTTCTTCTTAATTTCTTAACTGACCCACTGGTCATTCAGGAGCATATTGTTTAATTTCCATTAATTTGTTTAATTTCCAAAATCCCTCTTGTTGATTTCTAGTTTTATTCCATTGTGGTCAGAGAAGATGCTTGATATTATTTCAATTTTTTTAATATTGTAAGACTTATTTTGTGACATAACATATGGTGTATCTTTGAGAATGATCCATGTGTGAAAGAGAAGAATGTATATTCTGCAGCCTTTGGAGGAAATGTTTTGTTAATATGTATTAGGGCCACTTGTCCTATAATTCAGATAAAGTCTACTGTTTCTTTGTTGAATTTCTGTCTGGGAAATCTGTTTAATGCTGAAAGTGGGGTGTTAAAGTCTCCAGCTATTACTGTATTGAGGGACTGTCTCTCTAGCTCTAATGTCTGCTTTATATATCTGGGTGCTCCAGTTTGGGTGCATATGTATTTATGATTGTTATATTCTATTGCTGGATTGACGTTTTTATCGTTATATAATGACCTTCTTTGTCACTTCTTACAGTTTTTTGTCTGGAAATCTATTTGCCTAAGTATAGCTACTCTTGCTTTCTTCTGGTTTCTCCTCACATGGAATGTCTTTTATGTCCCTTTATTTTCAGTCTATTTGCATCTTTATAGATGAAGTGTGTTTTTTGCAAGCAACAGATCATTGGGTCTTGTTTTTTAATCCATTTAACTGCCCTATGTCTTTTGATTGAAGACTTTAATTCATTTACATTCAATGTTACTATTGATAAGTAGGAATTTCTGCCATTTTGTTATTTGTTTTCTGGTTGTTTTGTGGTCTTTTTCTTTCTGTTTTCCTTTTAGGGAAGGTGATTTTCTCTGGTAGTGTGATTTAATTTGTTGCTTTTAATTTTTTTGTGTATTTATTGTATGTTTATTTGGCTTGAGGTAACCATTAGGCTTGCAAATACTATAAAATTCATTATTTTAAACTGGGCTGGCTGAACAATGTTTGTTTTTGATTGCATAAAGAAACACATAAAAAGAAAACTAATAAAAACTCTACACATTAACTTCATTCTCCTGCTTTTAAACATTTTGTTGTTTCTTTTTATGTTCTATTATACTATGTCTTGAAACGTCATTGTATTATTATTTTTGATTGGTTTATCACTTAGTATTTCTATTTAAGACATAGTAGTTTACACACACAATTACAGTGTAATACTAGTCTGTGTTTTTCATTGTGCTTACTATTACCAATGAGTCTTCAGATGATTTCTACTTGGCCATTAACAACCATTTTTTTTCTTTTTCAGATTGAAGAACTCCCTTTAGCATTTCTTGTAGGACAGGTCTGGTGATGATACCCCTCAACTTTTGTTTGGGAAGGTCTTTATTTTTCCTTTATGTTTGAAGGATATTTTCACCAAATATACTATCTTAGTGTAAAAGTTTTTTCCTTCAGCACTTTAAATATGTCATGCCACTTTCCCCATATCTGTAAGGTTTCCACTGAAAAGTCTGCTGTGAGGCTTATTGGAGCTTCATTGTATGTTATTTGTTTCTTTTCTCTTGCTGCTTTTAGGATGCTTTTTTTTCCCTTGACCTTTGGGAGTTTGATTATATGATGCCTTGAGGTAGTCTTCTTTGGGATAAATGTTAGTATTATGTAACCTTGTACTTGAATGTTGATATCTTTTTCTAAGTTTGAAAAGTTCTCTGATATTATCCCTTTGAATAAACTTCTACCCTTTCTCTTTCTCTACCTTCTCTTTAAGGCTAATACATCTCAGTTTTACCCTTTTGAGACTATTTTCTAGATCTTATAGGTGTGCTTCATTGTTTGTTATTTCTTTTTCTTTTTTCTCCTCTGACAATGCATTTTCAAATAGTTTGTTTTTAAGCTCATGAATACTTTCTCCTGATTGATCAATTCTGCTATTAAGAGATTCTGATAAATTCTTTAATATTTCAATTGCATTTTTTCAACACCAGAATTTCTGCTTGATTCTTTTTAATTATTTAATTCTCTTTGTTAACCTTATCTGATAGAATTCTGAATTCCTTCTTTGTGTTATCTTGAATTTATTTGAATTTCCTCAACACAGCTATTTTGAATTATCTCTCTGAAATGTCACATGTCTCTGTTTCTCCAGGATTAATTCTTTGTGCCTTATTTAGTTCATTTGGTGAGGTTATGTTTTCCTGGATGATCTTGATGCTTATAGATATTCTTCAGTCTCTGGGTGTTGAAGAGTTGGATATTTATTTTAGTCTTTGCAATCTGGGCTTGTTTGTGCCCAACCTTCTTGAGAAGGCTTTCCAGGTATTAAAAAAAACTTGGGCCCCAAGTCCAATATCTCTGTTTTTTGGAGAATTGTAGAGGTACCACCTTGATGGCCTTGAATAAGATTCAGAAGAATTATCTGTATTACCATGCAGAGATTCTTGTTTTTTGTTACCCCCCTTACTTTCTCCCAAATAAATGGAGTCTCTCTGTCTCTGCCAAGCTGCATGGAAGTGGGGTATGGTAATGCAACACCCTTGTGGCCACCACCACTGGGATTGCCCTGCATCAGACCTGAAGCCAGCACATCACTGGGTCCTACCCAAGCACTGGGTCTTGCCCAAAGTCTGCTATAACCACTACCTGGCTATCTACTATGTTCACTCAAGTCCCTAGGTCCAGCTAGGTTTATGTTCTTTCCTTCAGGGCAGTGAGTTTCCCCAGGCCTTGCACAGGTCCAGAGATGTCTGGGAGCCAGACATTGGAATCAAATACCTTAGAAATTTGTCTGATATTCTATTCTACTATGACTAAGCTGGCGCTCAAACCACAATACAAAGTCCTTCTTGCTCTTCCCTCCCTTTTCCACTGGTAGAGTAGCATCTCCCTGTGGCCACCACCACCACTGACCCATGGTTGAGGGAGTTCTGTCAGGCCATTGCTGATGTTTACTTAAATCCCAAGGGCTCTTCGGTCAGCTGGTGGTGAATGTTGCCAGGTGTGGGACTCAACCTTCAA